AAGTAATAATTTGAGTATTTAAAACACTTTACTTCATACAATTAATTATGTTATTTATATGATTTTTAACATTGAAAATTTCTTTTAGGTTAAAAAAATATTTCAAAGAAACATAACTAGTTAAATCTTAATAATCTTATTTTCACATGTGTAAACACTTTGAAATGGTATATAGTGTCAGAAGAATTTTATTCCCACCTCGTATCCCTAGTTCCTGAACTATCTTTTTCACTTCAGAGGCAACTGCCAAAAATTTCTTGATGATGGCCTTCCTTACATAATCAGATTAATTGACATATTCATCTCTGTGACAAAAGCCAGTTAAGAACATCATATTTAAATCTTTGATATTATTTTCATTTTTATCTTAACTGTTCCCTTTTGGCATTTGTCCCATATCAGTACCAAGAACTTCCCCCATTATTTTTACAGTGGCTAATTGGGATATGCCCTAATTTACTAAAGTAGCTCTCTATTAATAGATGTCTGTTTTTTCTTTTAAAAAGCAAATTATACCACACAAAATATGTGTTTGTCCATTTTTACAATTTATTTGATAACATATATGACTAAATAACAGCATGTAAAGGAATATGGGCTTGAACTGATTTAAAACAAATGGCTATTATTGGCTACCCAGTACTCACCTATTTAATAGCCAGGTAATACAGAGTAATTTACTTAACAGCTTATAATGAATTGTACTCATCTGTAAAACAGATATGAACAATAAGACACACCTTAAAGGGATGTTCTGTGCATTAAAGGGTCTTCTATTTAAAAATATCAATGCTACTATTAAGAAAGTGGCTGTTTTCTTCCTAACATTTTGTGAAGTACTATAGGAACATTTTTTTGAAAGTGTTGACATAGTTCAAGCTCTCTCAGCTCAGTGCAGATGTTTATTTAGTAGGGTCAGTTGAGAGTAGGAGTTCCAGTGTGTTAGTAGAAGTGAGACACCAAGTTTAGTCCCTTCTCTGAACTAATATTAGCTTAAAAGATGATCATGTTGGGCTTTACTGTCCTTATCTGTTACATGCAGGCATTAGATTAATTGATCTCCAGGGTACTCTTCTGCTCCAATAATTATGTTTGTGTTTATTTGGTATCAAAATGGTACCTAGATTATATTGCTTAGACAATTTGGGGCAATCTCTTTGAATCTTGACTCATCTAATGTGTGGCTTTGCATATGCTGTCTCCCTATATAAAATTACTTCCCTAGCTGGCTTCTTACTGAGTGGAGTTCTGGGCTAGTCTAGAGTCTTTCAGTTGAGTCTCTAGAACAGCCTTCTCAGTTGAGCTTAGTTAGGCATGTGTTCTTTTAAGCTGGCTTGGCCCTACGCTGTGTGGCAGATTAAGAGTTTTTGAACCTCACAGATAATTTTTAATCTGTTACCATAGGTTCAGATTTAATGCTGTAGACTTTTTAATGCATCAAGCAAAAAAAAATACATATTCCTTCTTGGTCTGTAAGTTTCAAGTCAAGAGTTTGAAGGAACAAGAGATATTTGTGCTTCAATAAGGCAGTTTCATGCTCTGTGAAACTGCATGTTCCAGAAGAGAGGACGTTCTCGAGGCAGGAGTAAGCAAGCAGGGAGCAGACACCATTGGCCTCTGACAAAGGAGGAAGGATTTATGCCTTGACCTCCATCCCCAAGTAGAGGGAGGAGGATACAGAGATGTTGAGAGGGATATGGAATATGAGAATACAGGTTTCCAGAAAGTTGGGAGGAGGGCATCCAAGTGGATAGGTGTGAGGGACATTGCAGAAGTCCTATAGAACCTCACATGGCACCATAGGAGAAGATGATATTCTTGAGCTGGCGGGGGCGGGGGGGGGGGGGGGGGGGGGGGGGCTGGAAGTGGAGAAAGTGAAAATCTTCTGCTTATGTGGACTTAGTGATGTATGAGAATAATGATACCATGTGTGCTGCATAGTTTCAGGTCAACTTGACACAAGTTAGAGTAATCTGAGAGGAGGAACCTCAATTGAGAAAAACACCTCCATAGGACAGACTGCAGTAGACCTTCAGGGCATTTTCTCAATTAGTGATTGGGGGGAAGATCAAACCCTTTGTGGTGGTATCTCTGTCTGGTGTTCTTGTGTTCTATAAGAAACTAGGCTGAGCAAGCAATGTGGAGCAACCAGTAAGCAGCACCCCTCTACGGCCTCTGCCTCTGCTCCTGCCTTCCGGTTTTCATTCAGTGTGAGTTCCTGCTCTGACTTCTCTCAGTGGATTGTGACTTGAGGTATGTAAGCCCAAGTTTTGGTCATTGTGTTTCGCCACAGCAGTAGTGCATTTTATCTATGTGCACATTATCTATACACACAATATGAATCTATAGAATACACACATATATCTTGCTCTACTGCTTTTAAAAGTAGAATCATTTGATATTCTCGTTATTAATTAGAAAAAATTGAAATATGATTATGGTCTTCTTTTTTATTTTAATTAGAAAGAAAATTATTTTACACATCATCCCAGGCCCCTCTACCTCCCCTCCTCCCCTGTCCCCCCCCCCCAACTAACACCCTACCTATCCCATACCCTTTCTGCTCCCAAGGGAAGGTGAGGCCTTCCATAGTGGGTCTTCAAAAGTCTGTTTTCTAAGCACAATAAAAGCATAGGTGCAGCCTCTATATACTACTGTCTTGCTTATTTTTGTGAAAGCAGCGTGCTTTTTGAAAATTTGTAAAATAAGAAAAAGACAGTAGGGAAGTTAAATTTTCTTATAATTGTACTTCCTACAGCTATCCATTATTAATCTTCAGTTGTAATGAACCCTTATCTTAGAAACAGAACACTGGTGTAAAGTTTTGTCTATATGTCACTATATCATAAGTGTTCTGCAAAAGCACAGGGGATTTAATGCTCATGGACTCAACAGCTGTCTGTTTTGGGTGCTGGGCTCAGTGGGAGAAGTTATTTCACAATAACTTGTAGGGATTAATATGTAAATTGAGATTTTCAAAATGCAAATTGTGGCTTTATGTATTCTTTTAAAGGAAAGTAAAAATGTTCATATAATGTTCATTGTAATGTTCTTTAGGATGACAGCAATTTTAATTAAAATTTGAAACCCAAAGGGACAATAAAAAGACCATAAAATGTGGTTTACAACCAGTAGCTGGACCATGGAGAGGAGGGCATCACATCCAGGAGGGTATGGACATGTGACCCACTCACAGCAGCATGTGCACTCTGCTGTTTTAGGCAACTTGGCCTTGTATATCCCCCCAGCCACAGCAGCAGATGCTCTCTTCTGTTTTTGACTGAGAGAAAAAAGCTAGAAAGTCAGCATGGATCACAACACCTCAAAAGTGCCACACGTCCTCCCTCCTTCCTCAGTGGTGCTGGAATGGCAGCTCAGACCAGGAAACAAGGGTTAACACTAGAGTTACAGTTAAAACTGTCTAGAAAATTGACATGTCTATTTCACTCACTTAAGGAAAAAAGTCACCTTTCACCCAGGGCATTAGGAATTTCTAAGTGTGGGAACCACAGTTGAATTATTTTGGCTTGTTGCCATGTATTTAAGAAAATAGAAGGCCTGGAGGGCCTGCTAAATTGACTTGATGTTTTTAGATTTTTGACATGTGGGGACTAATCTCATCTCTATGTCAGTGTTCCCTGTCATCTGATGAAGATTAAAATATAATTAGCCCATCCCTATAATTATCCTTGTAATAAACCCATCGCCTCAAAGTCACGGGAGTAGTTTAGAGCATTTAGGGCCAGACTGCCTCTATCTGAGTCCTGATTGTGCCATTTATAGGCTGTGAGGCTCTGAACAACAGATCACATATCTTTATTCCCAATCGTCCTCCCATATCTCATGGAGTTTTCAGAAGAATAAAACTGTATATATACTTGTTAAGGACCTAAAACAAAGCCTGTGCATAATAAAAAGTAAATGTGTTAAATAAAGCATTATCATTAAGGAGTCAATTGATGGTTGCTGGTGATTCAGAGGTAAAACAAAGAAGTAGCAGGACGTGGGCAAAGGACAGATGGTGGACTTGAACATATCAAAATGGCACTAAAAATTGCCAATGCTTTTATGGTGAGGTGAGTGAGTGGTAAAGCGAGAAACTGTCCGGTGAGGGCTAATACTGGAGTGCTCTTTAAATACATTGGATTAGTTCAGGAGGCAAGGTATGTTGGGGCTGGTTAGGGGATGGATTTAGAAAATGGAATTACTTTAGAAGTAGAATGAGTATTTGGAGGGTGTTTAATATTTCTTGAATTATTTATCTGTATTACAGGATTTGTATAATAAAGGCTCTGCTAAAGTCTTTTGATCCCATTCAAAGAAAAATAGCTGAAAACTGACTTTTCAAACAGTTGCATGGATTTTTATCAACATGGCACTTATTCTATCTGCTATTTACTGGGTGTCCAAGTAGGCATCAATGCTCTGTAAAAACCTGTCAGGCAAAAATTATAACTCTCAATCTATAGCTATGAAGAAATGGATACTAGATTAACTATTAATTTCTCATCTGTTCAATAATTACATGACTATCTTTGACATAAGTCTGCAATAAATGATATTACTCAAGTGTTGGTGGAGATAATTGCTTTATCATAATATTTTGATAAGCTTAATGTATGTATTATATACTACATTATCATCAGTGGTTTTATTCACATTTCTTCCTGATTATACGATAGAGTATACTATAAAAGAGAGAGAAGATTGTATATGTGTTTATTTATTTATTTAATTTGAGAATGGGTCTCACCATGTAGCCTTTGCTGGCCTGGAACTCCCTATGTAGACCAAGCTAACTTGGAGCTCACAGAGATCACTGGCCTCTGCTTCTGCCTCTGCTTCTCGAGGGATTAAAGGTTTATGCCACTACACCTGGCCTATTTTTATTTTTTAAAATTATTCCACTTAGTGCATGGGAGACTGATCACCTTATCCAAAATTTGAGTTTCAGTTTAATTATTTTGTTATTAGAATGCTAATGCTTTGTTATCCTATTTTTCATAGATTGGTGTTTATGTTTGCCTATGGAATTTCTCTGTACAGTCACTGGCATGGAGGAAGGAAGATAAGCCAGAAGTCACACTGAGGTAAATGACCCCTGAGATGCAATTGGAAGACATGCATTCTAAGCTAGTTTTTCCTCTATCCAAATGATAACCATTCAATTTTTCAATCAATGAGAAGGAAACAAATATCATCTACATGAGGATGGATGCCACTTAAAAGGAACAGTGATTGATTGGAGGTATTTCAGAGGCACAGAGGAAAATATGGCAAATCTGATCAGTTTGTATATGCAGCTGATGAGATGTGGGCTGGGAAATAAACACATGCTACCCAAGAACTGCCAACGACCTGTGAAGTTGATTAACTTGCTGTTTCAGATCTGATGGGTTAAAACAAGTCTTTCTTAAGTCATGCTTCAGCTCTGTAAATTTGTTTTGTTTTATTTTGAGATAGGGCCTCTTTCTCTCTTCCTGGCTATCTTGGAGCTTACTATGTAGACATGGTGGCCTTGAGCTCACAGAGATCCTCATGCCTCTGCTTCTTGGGTGTTGGAATTAAAAATTTGCACCACCACATCTGGCAGAGCTCTGTAATTTTTACAACATACTAAGCCTGAAATATATTGAGTATCTGATTTTATCTATATAGAGGCAAACATCTTCCAGTAATGCCGATAGGACATTATGCTGTTGGTTGCTAATTGGGAAAATTAGAAAGAACATCCACATACAATTAGAAGAAGTTCTGTTGCTTTCTGAGGGTTTCCTCACTAAATGGTTAAAATATTCAGCTCTGTAAAGCAAGCAACCTACTTTTAAACAGGTGGTGCTAGCTATGTACATTCACATGCTGTTTTAATCATGTAATATCTGTTGATCATTAATAGCAGATGATAATTATTGTGAACACTAATGGGATCTCTGGATTCCCTCTAGAGACAAGGTTCCTCTCTTCCGGGTAACTCTAATGGCTCTCGTGCCATTGCTCTTCCTCTTTGTGCTTTACAGATCATGACTGCCAGCTTGCTCTTTTTCCCAGATGCTAAATCACTGCCGGATAGAAGAGAAACATTTAACAAATATCCTCAGACTTTTAGCAGATTCAAGTAAGCAATGCTAAGACAATCTTTATAGCCTAGCCTAGGATTCCTGCTTGGATCCTGCAGTTTTGATTAGATTGCATCAATGCATGAAAACATTGGTGTGTGAATCCATGTGAATCCAGTAAGGATTTTTTTTTTTAAATTCCTGGATATATAGTATTTCATTTTCTATTGTTTTTTTTTTCCCCCTCAGTTCCTTTGGTACAGCTGGAAAAGTCTGTCTAACTCTTTTTAACCTTTCTTTAGTCTGATGCTTCTAACATTTTGTCCCTCTCGAATATCTTTCCTTAACAAACAGAAGCAGATGGTAGACTCTTGATAGCTCTGTTTGGAGCAGGTTATCCCCTTCCTAGTTCAGAGCCTACTCTGGCCCTGTTGTGCAGTGGTCTGGTGAGGTCACCAGATGCCTGTGATGACTCTAACAGTGCTCTAGGAAACTGAGTCATTAATCACTGCCAACTGCTTGTTTGCAGGGATTTATTCCATCTTCTTCCCATGCCAGCATCATCTAACAGACAATCAGATGCTTTAGTCAGCAGCTTCTGGAGTTCAAGAAACTCCCCAAAACTTTTTTTTTTTTTTTTTAATCCCAGAATTAGGACCATAAAGTCCAGGCCTGAATAAGTAAGATTTCCCTCCTCTCATATACACTGAAGGAAGTCTGCAACTTTCAAAGAAGCCTGTGAACACAGGGCTGTGTTTTTGTTTTTGTTTTTTTCTAAAGATAGAATAGAGTGAAGTTTTGGAAACATTGGAAGAGAAAACTTAAGTGTAAAGTGTGTATCTTAAGGTGTGTAAACTACTGCGTGCTCTTTCCTTTAGGTATTTTTGTTTAACTATTGTTACCAAGGAAGTTGGTGTACCATCTTGGGGTTCTTAGTTTAGTTAATACATTTAAAAAACGGATTAAAAAGGAAGCCAGAGGATAGTGTTAGAGTTTAAAAGAAAAACAAACAAACAAACTCAAAATAGGTGTTGACTGTAAATCTCAGCAGCTGCCTGGAACAAAACAGAGACAAGAAGAGACACGTGAGTTAAGCCAAAATGGAAATCAGCCATATGGTAGAGAGAAAGAGTGGAGCCCACAGTGTTAGAGAAAGCTCGCTTAGAAAAGAGGTGGAGAGACGAGAAGAAGCGATGTTTTCCTGAGTGATTCAAAAAAGTGGATACATTTGCAAAACTCCATGTCTGCTACTCTGTAGGAAACTGAAGGAGGAAAAGGAATTCTGGGAAGGAACAGTACATTCTCTCATTAAAAGAGTAATTATTCCTCCTATGTCTTCAGCATGGCTTAAGAATCTGCATTCCTTTAGCCCAATGAGTGACCAACCCTGCTGGGATGCTAGGTCTCTACCCATGGCCAGAGACTTCCTTTACTTCACAAAAGGAGCTAGTTTTTCCACCATGGTCCTGTAACACCTCTATAACTCCATCTAGACTTTAAATGCACACAGTCCAATGTATTTGAACAAGGAATTTTACTTCCAAGATTATCCCCCAAATTACTCTGGGATGAGTCTTCAAAGAAACTGTACAAGAATATTTGTAAAGTATTGCTTGTAACAATAAAAGTTTAAACACAATTTTAAGTAAACATCTTTCTTAGAAGGCTAGTTAAGTAAGTTAACATCCATAAAGGAGATTCTTTTAACCACTTGAGTCAATGAAATACACATTGAAGCAGAAGACCAATCAATGTGGTCATTTGTATCTGAAAAGAAAGAAGCCCATATGCACATATGTGAGTTCTTATATATTTGTACCTATAGCCTTTCGGACATTTTGCTAGCAGTAGTTAGTGCTAATGAAGTGCTAAGGAAGGTCAAAGAAGTTTCACTTTTTAAAAATAAAGCTTAAAGTGGCTGATTAGTACATATAATTCTGGTGAAACAAGTAGGTAAAAATTAGACAAACACATGATGCTATGACTGTTCGTTTTCTCACCAGGATTTCTTACAGCTTGCTTTACACAGGAAGAAGTCTGACTCTAAGGACAGACCTGTGTTCTGCCCCTGCAGGTTGGCTTTGTAATCTTTACCTAAAGTATTCAATGTCTCCCAGACCTATTTATATTTTTCTTTCTGTAAAAGAAGGCAATACTAAGAAGTTAAGAGCTATTGTGAGGATTAGGTAGTAAAGTCCCCTAGCACAAAGCCTGTGACATAACCATTAATAAGATCCAGTTCTCTTTCCAACTTCAGGAGATAATGATGCCTTCTTTTCCAAACCCTTTGTTTGCTTGTTTTCTCCTTTAATGAGGGCATGTTGTCCCTGATAGCCCACTGAAGGTTTTATGGGTGTGCAGGCATATAAGGAAAGCATCCTGGACAGAGCCCTGATTCAGAACATGTCTCCATGAAGGCTCAGAGCAGGTGGGGCTCTTTCCCACTGCGCTCAGCATCCTCTCTAGGGCTTGGAAGCTTCACATTTCTTTGTGGCTGTGATCCCTAGGTCCCTCTGTAGTTCTCTTAGTTCTGTTAGCTGCTCAGCTTAGGAGAACCAAACAGCCACAGCCACCAGTGTTGCAACCACTCCCCTCCTGAGGCTTTTCCTTTCTGGAAGAGGATTCTTCTTCTTCCTCCTCCTCGTCCTCTGCTTCCTCATCTTCCTCCTCATTTCTCATCCCTCCTCCTTCTACCTTTTCTTATTATATTTTAGTTTTAAAACATGTAAAATATTAATTATTAATTTTGTTTTATGTTTAAAAATAAAGGGAAGTTTGGGGGCAATAGATGTGATTTACTGCACCCAGTTTTGTGTGTGTGTGTGTGTGTGTGTGTAGAAATCAGTGGAGACTAGGAAGCAAGCACAGTGTTTTCTTTGGTCTCCCTGTGACCTACTTGTTGTCATATATTACATGCTGTGTACTTTCACACACACCAGCTTCATATGTTGCTGAAATCTGAGGCTACAGTTACAACTTCACAGAGGGACACATTCATTCCTCTGGGCTCTGATGGGAGACCAGCAACCCAACACTTTCCCTTGCTTTCAGATTTGTTTTAATGTACAGGTTCCCAAGTACATCCTGGTAGAGCTGGAGATACTTGTGAATAGCAGAGGGTGCAGGGCCTTGTATCTGTTTCTGTTACCTTGAGTCAGTATGTCTCATGAGTCAGTATCAGTTTGTAATGTGGGTTTGGGCTAGAAGGTCCTAGATATAGAGCAGGACAGACTGAGGTTTTGGTCTTTTTTGTTCTTGTTGTCTTTTGCTTTCTGGACTGGAAGTTGAAACTAAGGCCTTGTACATGTTGGGTAAGCATTCTGTCACCAAGCTGTAGATCCAGCAGAACCAGGTTGGAAAAGAGCCTTGAAACTTTCTAGCAAGTGGCCTAAGGCAAATTACTGAATTTTCCAGCCTTAGCTTCTTCATTTGTGTAATAGTGATGAAATGGTACTAGGCCTAGTGTGATGAGCACAGTAGTAATGTATAGCCAGTGCTCAGTGAGGGACTGTGCTAAGTTGAATCTCAGTTGCTTTAAATTTCATGGCCTCTCCTTCCTCATCATTGTGGTCATTATCTTTGTCGTTATCATAGTAGTCCTCCTCCTTTTCCTTCTCTTCTTTTTTTAAAATTTTTGTTTGTTTGTTTTGAGACAGAGTCTCTTTATGCAGCCCTGTTTGTCCAGAGGCTCACTATGTAGATTAAGCCGGCCTCAAACTCATGCAGAACGACCTGCCTCTGCATGGAAAGTACTGGGATAAATATGTGTAAAACGTTATGGTGGTTAATTATTTAAGTTTTGGGCAATGTCTTTTCCTCTATTAGGTTTTAAGTGGCCAACATAGTGCTGAAGCACTGGAAGGATGAATAAAAGAAATGAATGAAGGGACTCTCCAAAAGAAAAGCAGTGTGACTAGCTCTACGGCACATTTATCATGCGCCTGTGACTGATGTCTTTGAAGATCCTTTTTTGAGATCATTTCTTTCTTGTCTTCTAGTCTCCTTCAGAATGATTTCCTGCCTCCACTCTTTAT